TAAATATCCATGTACAAGTGTAAAGTGTACATGTAAATCCTTCAGCATGCACTACCTTAATTTTCCTTTAAAATGTTGATGGCCTTCTGTATTGTTTAATGACCGAAAGGAAATATTCATTCAGAAAATAAAGTGAAATGTTCACTCGTCACAATATTACAAACATGGCATGTGAGTACCTCAATTCTTTATCCCTAGTATTTATGCCTCATCAAATCATATTAATCTGCAGTATCACTATCAACCCACAGCCACTGCTAATCATACATGAAAACAGTGCTCTTGTAAGTTCCACAAAAGCTTATCAAAATATTCACATGTATTCGTTCATACTGCTTCCCAGGTACCCTCGATAACACAACGAGGCCAACTCAACAAGGAGAGACTCTCACGAGGTATGTCTTCATCAGCTTGAGATTGCCAAATAACCCGCTAATTCTGATTTGGGAAATAAGCCCAAAGTAACAACTCTCATCTTCATCAGCTCAAGACTCGACCTCGAAACTCAAACTCGACCTCAAGAAATAAGCTCGAGATATCTTGCTCAGCATTTGCGCATAGAGTGTGAGTCTTCGGGCTGGTTAAGATGCACCGGACAAATAGAGGGATATTTAGCCAGATAGCGGGATATTTTGTACACTGGCCTAAGAAATCTTGGGAGGATTATCTCAACCAAATATCCTGCTAATTGCAACTGCATGCTGATGGAGATGCAAATTAGCTGGATAATTTGCGATCAGGATAAAAATAGCGGATTATTCGACAATCTCAAGCTGATGAAGACAGGCCTACATAGAATTATGAACATACATGTGTGTACAGTGTAGTGCCAATGTCAACAGAGTTCCACTGAGTCCACATTTCTACATTCTAAAACACTCACTGCACTTGAGTGGATAGGCAATTAGCTTGCCATTTATGCCACCCCCAGTTTGTAAAAAAAAATAATGGTAATGAAATAGCATAAACGGGAGTAGAGCGGGATTTACATGTACATCTGGAGAACAATTTAAAATATGAAAACTGTCAACAGCAAAATTCCTTTTTTCTACAGAACTTGTCAGAGAGGGAAAACAAAGTCAGATTCTGCAAAAATTCTTTTTTACAGTTACCATTGATAACTCTATACTATACAGTGTATGTATTGTCTGTAAAGTATTACAAAATTAGCGTTTTCACAAATACGGTATGTTTAAATAGACAAAATATGTCAACACCTACAATGAACACAAGTGAACCTTTTTATCGCTCTTCCATTCTATTATTCTTGTGAGTGAGTATACCAATCGAATGCTGCCACAAGAAGACCTTGGGATACCACAACATAGAGCACAGACAATTCTGAAAAGGAAACACATACACCGTTGGCCTGAAGTTACCACAAAAGGCAGTTCTTCTAACGGCCTTCATCTATAATAGCACACACTGACACAGACATTATTCTTCTCAACTACTGTACTGCACCTATTTGAATGCACTTCACAGATTTAAACATCAATTAATTGTCAAGTTGGTACAGTTAAGTTTGAAAAGAGAAAAATCTTCCCAAGGATGCAGAACTTGTTAGTTTTCATATAAATATTGTACTTGTATTGGGTTAATTTTTTTTGTCCAAATCATCTTGACCTTTGCCATGAAACAGGGCTCTTGATAGTAAGCTGTAGAGGAGATTGATACACCCACTTCATATACATGTACAGTGTGTAGGTTATATATTCTAGTACAGTATATCAATGTATTTGGCAACATTTATGTTCCATCTGTATTATTTTTTTTTCCTCAAAATATACTACTTGAGTGGTATAATTTACAAATTATGCGCTACATGTATGTCAAGATGACTTCTTTCATTATCCGATACACGTACATGGATGACCCGTTCAGATACAGTAGGGCATTCACTCGGTGTTTAAAAGTTTAAAGTTTGGCTCTAAACAGACGATATATTCTGTCCTTAAATATTTACCGGTACACCAATTCAAGTGGATGGAGACATTTTTTTCTTCTCAGTTTTATGCCAGAAATAGCTCTCCTTTATTATTTTTCACTCCGATTCGCAAAGATCGTCAGGGACCAGTGGTGGTCTTCAAACCATGCAAAAACCAGCTTGCACTATGACCTAATCCTACTTTACCTCAACCTATAATTTTGTCTACATTTTGACCTGAACTCAGCTTTGAAGAATCAAAATCGAAATAAATCACTTACCGGTATTCATATTTAGAGCAACAAGAACATTGACTCATATTTCACTTATAACAGTTTATCAAAGAGTTTGTATACCTCTCTGGCTCTGAACAGACAAAATCATCAATTGATAAAGAGATATATTGCAAGAGGTTCATTAATACTACTTACTGTACACTACTTGAAATGGAGCAAAGTATGCAGGGTGCCTCTTGGAAGCTTCTGCCATGAATTTATTTCATGTTAAATCACATGACAAGGAAGTTTAGACAAAGTCATAGCCTTTTTGAAAATATAGAACTAGAAAGAATGAAATGTTCAGAGTGCTCAATGGTTTTGATATATATGTACACTCTAATCCAATATCTTTTAATTTGTGGAGAATGAAATTTGAATGAAAAAAAATGAACATGATGGCTGACTTGTCTCCAGTAATCTGATTACACATTTGATGTGTATCAGGAATAAACCATTTATAAATTATCTGATGTGACTTTTGTTGGAATATTAATCTATCCTTTTTCATTCTGCATTGAATGCTAGATCTTTATGTCCGATTACGGAAGAAGGAGGTAAAATGCAGTTCCGTGTTTTGCATGTCAGTTTGATCTTGTCATGCATGCATCTAGTGTTTCATGTTCAATGAACTGAAAACCATTGAATGCTAAACATCCTATAGATCATTGCGACACAGAATGCATACTTTCTTGGTACAGCAGGTTAACGAAATAGCCTGCGCTCTACACACAATTTTCACTTCAGAGAACCTAGGTACACTGCAGCCAGGGGGCATCGCCAGACGATTATGAATGAAGAAGGGGGAGGGTGTATGATTGGATTTGCAAACAAGTTAAAAGAATTTGTTTCCAACCAGCCCCTACCCCCCCCCCCCACACACACACACACACACAGTCACACACACGAAAAATGGGGTCCTCAGGTTTATTTTTCTTCAACTTGTTCTCATAATCGATTTCACTACTCCCATCTTCTCGCAAATTATGTTAATGTTTAACATGTCATAACAATCTAAATAAATAATTTTTATTTTTAAATTGGTGATGAATAGTGCTCTTGTCGATCAGTGTTTTGTCCGTTATCGACATTTCAGTTGACATACTATATGAAAATTGAAGCCAGTCAGCAAAGTTTTCATTTGTCATTAGATGATTTATGTTTCATTTTGATTTGTTTGTGTTCATTCATTCTCAGATGGGGGCTGTGGTCAGTATAGTAGGTTATCATCGTTGGAGAAGGTACAGTATATCGAGACACTAGATCTATCATAGAACTTACAAAATGTAAATGTAGAAGTCAAATTTATGCCTCATTTGTATTTTGTAATGATCAATACTATTACTGTGAATCTTCTCAGAAATTCTACCACTCATGTAGATTGCTGGAGAAGGTAAATTAATTGGTCATGCAAAAAAAATGATCGACCTGTTGACAGGGAGACTATGTGTAGATAACGGTAACCATGGTTCGTTTCAGTGGGTGCATTTACTGTCTAATAGCAGTATGTACTCTGTATTTGACTCACAACTGGGAATATTAATGCGTCACTCTCATTTTCTCAATTAATTACCTTGAGAATCAAATTAGTCAAATTCTGTCTCGAACTGTATAGTGAGAGACTGAGACCAAAAGCTGCATTTTTTTTTCTTCAAATGCAACTTTCAAAGGCTTAAAAGAAGTCAGGCTAGTCAGTCTATTTTGTTTTTATCATAGTTCCTATTGTTATGTTAAGTTGCACTGTTTTAGAAATCATGAAAGAGAATGTTGATAAGAACTCATTTTTCTCATCAATATCGATGAAAATTAAGTAAAGTCCTCAGTGTTCATAGACGATGTAAAGTTACATCTAATGTTAGGTCAATAGACCCGAGGCTAGATCTAGAATCTTCAAAACAATGTGCATTAGCAATCTCCAAAGTTGCAAAGTTGAGGATGGTTTGTGATGCACATGTATGATCTAGTAATGTAAATATTTAGCCAGATTTAATTTGTTATTCTTGTTGTACTCAGTACAGTCTACACAAATAAGCATACAATGTCGATCTAGTCTCTAGTCTTGATGATAGGTCTAGATCTCCATAAATAAATCAATTAGTAAGATGCAGGCTCTGGCCAGTCATAGCCTAGACTACTCATATTCTCAACAAATTATATAAATATATTTTTGGTGTTTACTCTACATTTTGAACTGACATGCAGCTTTAACTTAGTTAGAACCAAATGAGCGATTTAACTTGGTCTTTCTTGGAAGAGCTTCCTGTGAATGTATGTGTCAGATCTAATTTTAATAAACTGTTGTTCAAACTAAGTTTACACAAAGTTTGAGTCCAACACTAACTTACAGTTACACTTGCAATACACTCAGTAATTTGTAGACCAAAAGCTTCAGTCTCTCTAATCGTCGGTTGTTCCAATGAGACTACGTCTGGCTCCATGGGGAATGTCAACAAATGTCAGTTTTATTAAAGAAATGACCCATATCAGACGATTATTTCTGTCTATAGCATTTGTAGCAACGACAACATCAATAACAAAAGTGCATCAATTTTACTTGAGTTAGATCTAGATCTATAAATAAGATTAAGAGGTCTATCTAGTCTACCTCAATTGTTTATAGACCTAGAATACATCATCACAATCAAATTAATCGTATTACAATTCCCACATCACTTAAGTAAGATTAAGCATTGCATGACTTCTAAATGACTGTGCCAGTCTGGCGATTCATACTCCCCGACGTACTGTACGTGCAACATGAAAATTGGACTGTCAACAATTAGGCAATTAGCGGTTACCTGCAAGGCTTCCTCGGCGAAGTCCCCGGGTGCACCTACCCGGTACTGGTTGCCTCCTCTCCGCATCAGGAACCAAGTTTTGTCCCTGAAATATGAGAAAAATGAGGTGAAAAGCTGACTGAGACCCATCGTCATAACTGGTCAATATGATCCCATGTAACAGAATTATCCTGGATTAACGAATTAGTCTTCACAAACACAAGCTAATGGCAGAATTCTCGGTTAATAGTACACAGTCGATCCCGAAAGTCGATCTGAGCTGAGTACGATGTGTGAAGGTTTTCTGCGGTTTCTACGCACGCAAATTCGATTCGAATTTTTACACACATCAACACACGAGCGCGCCAATACTTCACGTTTTGAACGTACGGTAGGAAATTACTTCTTGCTGAGTGAGATCGAGAGAGTATCAATGAAAATATATTAGGTTTGAAAATAAATTCTACAATTAAATAATAAAACGTACAAGCCAACTGGATATCTTACAACGACGCTGCTGATCTTGGTGTAGTAGTTCTACAGTATGCAGTATATTCAGCGAGTTGTCTTATACTAGTTTTGATGTTTGCATATGGGAATTTCGTATTGATTATTCACCTCGGGCAAAGGGGACTTTGGTTCCTACTTGAGTTTTGTAAAACTACAAGTTGTTGAGTTCATAATAGCCTTTACACGTCCTACAATAAAAGAGCTATTGATATCTTTCTCTCACCCTCTCTCTCCACAGGAGTTTCCCATGTCTTTTTATTTGGTGGTGCTAAGTGCCCGGGAACCAACAGGGGAGCGTTGCAACAACAATTTATTCGGCCTTCTTTGAAGTTGAAATTGAATTGAATTGTATTTATTTCTTCTGCGCTTAAACACACAAAACAAATTACATTTCAGCAATATATCATATACAAAATATAACAAGTTTTATACCAAAAAGTTATTCATTAAGAAAGTTGCAGAAGAAGAAGGGCTAAAGCGATTGCTTCATAGAGTGATAGCCCAAAAGGGGAGGGGGGGGATGATGAATACAAAAATTAAAACAAAAAATTATGACAGTGATGACGTTGATGATGGTGATGATGTTGAGGATAATGAATGATGGTGAAAATGAAAAATGAAAATATGTTGATGTAAATATGTCTGACACAGAAACGTACTATTTAGGCCTAAGTATAACATTGATTTATTGATCAGGAGCTATGACTAGGAACTATTTCCTTTCTTTAATATACATGGAAGGCCCACTTGTATAATTATGATATAATTTGTTGTTTTTGTTCGCGAGACATGATCTGGAAACTATATTATATACTTGCATACAATTTGTTGGACTAAATGTGACTATTCTAAATGGGGCACCGGATGGTAAAGTAAACAATGAATGGAGGTAGGCCTACGGTTGACTTTCAAAAAAAAAAAATCGGATAGGACAAAAGAAAGAAAAGAAGTGGAAAGAAGGAAAGAAAAAAGGGACAGAAAGAAAGGAAACAAATCCAAGCCTACTTTTATGGTGGGGATTATTTTTTTATCGGATATTCCATGCCTGCCAACGTGTCAGCACATTATGTTGCTTTATTATATAATTATGTTGTGAAGCAAAATGTTGAAATGAATTCAGAGGGACTGATGGGCATAGACGGTCAGCAAAGATTACCAAGCAAGGGCTATGCTTGGTATATTGTGTAGGGACAGTGGCGTATATTGTATAGCTATGGGTGGCACAGGGGCATCCCCACATAGAATGACACCGAAAAGAAAAGAAATTAATTATACAAAGTTAGGGAGAAAAGGAAAGGCTGACGAGGAAGGGGTGTAATTTCAACTCCCCCCTCCCCCTCCTCTCCCACACACACACACACACACACCATATCCCTACTGAACAGTGGCCTTGTTACATAATATAGTTCACACTTAATTTACCGGAAAGTGCCCCCTGAAAGTGGGTGGACCCACACTATACGCCCCTAGGTTGGAGCAAACAACACGTTATTTCGTGCCGGAAGAAGAATGAAAAGTGAAAATGAAAATTATGTAAACACTTCCTGACAGAATGCGACAACGAAAGTCTTTTATTGTAGGTGGTGTACATGAACCGAACTATGCCTGTAATGACGCATTAGAACAATAAGACGAAAATCTAACATTGATAACAAAATAATGATAATGTAGAGATTCAAATTGTTTAAAGGTAAAGACCAGTATTGGAAACGCCCCAATTTCAAAAAATGAAATGGAAGCTCTCATTACCAATCATGTGAAAGAATATGTTTTGACTAATACATGATGATACAAAGTTTGCCGGGAAACCGCCTACTAATTCATACATTTGGTAAATTTGTTTCTCTCATGGTCTGTGAGAGATATAGGGTAGTCCCATATACATCTTTCTGTGTATAGTGTTGTAACTTTACGAAGAATGGGCCAAATTTCTTATCATTTTGATGATTCCAGAACCTTGCAGTACACACCAATACTTATATGCTAGATGATCAACCTTTTCTGATCGATTCCACAACGTTTCTTTCACAATGCAATCGCATGACCATAACTGGTCTTTACCTTTAAAATACAAATTAATAAAATGACATACATGGATTGCTATATAGGAGGGTTGTTTATCAATTACATCCGTCAGAATGTATTGTGATAATAACATTCTTGCAACATAGAACTCCAAACCACTGTCATGTTTTATTCAATTTTTGTAAAATACCGCGACGTTATTGATTTATATATTGATATTATTCGTCAAAATTAATGTAGGAGCCAATAATATTATTCGAATCACGATATGTTATGCAAGTGGGAAAGAGAGAGAGAGAGATAGGCAACGAAAGGGAGAGAGGGTGGAAGGGAAGGAGGTAGAGAGAGAGAGAGAGAGAGAGGGAGGGAGGAGAGAGAGAGAGAGAGAGAGAGAGAGAGAGAGAGAGAGAGAGAGAGAGTATGAATGACCCGTGAAGATAATAGTTAGCAACATTAGAACAGAGTTACTGTGGACATAATGTTGTTCATTGAATCTCTGGGGATATATATATTTTACATTGTATTTACATCCCTGTTATCTTCCTTTAAAGGTAAAGACCAGTTATGGTCATGCGATTGCATTGTGAAAGAAACGTTGTGGAATTGATCAGAAAAGGTTGATCATCTAGCATCTAGCATCTGCAAGGTTCTGGAATCATCAAAATGATAAGAAATTTGGCCCTTTCTTTGTAAAGTTACAAGCACTATACACAGAAAGATGTATATGGGACTACCCTATATCTCTCACAGACCATGAGAGAAACAAATTTACCAAATATATGAATTAGTAGGCGGTTTCCCGGCAAATTTTTTATCATCATGTATTAGTCAAAACATATTCTTTCACATGATTGGTAATGAGAGCTTCCATTTCATTTTTTGAAATTGGGGCGTTTCCAATACTGGTCTTTACCTTTAAAAAGATTATTTAGATGATAGAACGATTGCGAATCGACAAAAGATTTATGAATCCGATTCTACACTGCTTGTGAATCCAACATGGATTATAATATGGGCGTAGCTTGTAACCCCTCCCTGGCTGGATAAAACGTAATAAAAAGTCCTGGTTGCAGAATAATTATGTCCAACAATATATCTCAGATTGCAGAAAACTATATATCAGGTATATTAATTTCGTCCTATTTTACATAGGGGGAAAAAAGAGAGAGAAAAATAAAGGAGGGGGATTATATCAAAATTTCCGTCAAGCGATAAAATACAAACAACAACAACTACAACAACAACAACAACAACAACAACAGAGGATATTAAGGATGCCAGACTGCGTTTGAAGGAAAAATGGACTGGCTATGCCCCCCCCCCCCCCCCGATGGGGGGGGGAGTATTATTATTATTATTATTATTATTAGGACATACGGGGGTGTGCCGCTCTAATGCGTAACTTTTTTTCACAAAAAATTCCGAAACATGGGTCCAACTTTTAACAAAAATACCATTAAAAATGGGTCGTTTTTTCCAAAAATGTTTGGGTGTTTGCCATGCCATGCCATGCAAACACAATTGAAAAACACCCGAGAAAATGCCCCCAAATAACCCCTAATAATGGGTAGGGGTTTCAAGGCTTGAGCGGCACACCCCATCCAAACATAATTATGTCCCTCTTGAATTCATCAGTGTGTAACAAAATTAACAAGCATTGATTATTCATAATGTACCAATATAAGGTTATTCACGGGCGTAGAGCCGAATATTGCACTTTCCTTCTTACGCAGAGAAATGACGTCATGATAGTCATAAGGGGGAAATCCCAAGATGAACAGTGTCGGCATAACGCCTCCAAACCAATCACCGTGGCGTCCAGGCGGCTCGATCGGTCATTTCTATTTTCATATTCACCGAAACTCGAAAAGCGGTCCGGCACTTGGCTTTATCAAGTTTATTGTAGTATTTAGAAAGTGATATTTTAAAAGGAATATTATTACTGTGCGTCATCGGAAACATGAGACAATAACAATATGAGGGATAGCTGACACTTCGCTTTTGATCAACGAACGGAGGTGGGCGGGGTTTTCTATGCATCATTGTATCATAAACTGGAAACAAAAATACTAGAGTATTTCATTAATTTTCATCTAAGTCTGTAAAGTTAATTGAATATTGCCCTACTTAAGTATATTCGAAGTCTGGCTCACATAGAAAGATACATATTAAAGGAGATTTCGGAGTCTGTAAAGTTAATTGAATATTGCCCTACTTAAGTACATCCGAAGTCTGGCTCACATAATACATAGATACATATTAAAGGAGATTTCGGATAAAATGATCATGATTAGATAAATAAAATAATTATATTCCCGTCAACATGAGACGTTTCTACACAATCGCTAAGACTTTTAAGAAATTAACTCATGCCTGGCAATTAGAAATTATATACGTTATTAACAGCAAAGACAAAAACAAAATAAAGGGTAAGATTAGGCGTTAAGAATTGAAAATGCCTATGACAGGATGGCCTGTAAAAGCTCGCATTTTTAAAAGTTCAATGCGGCCAACTTTTACTTGTCAGATATTTTGATACACTTATAAAATCAATTTTCTTTTCGATTAACATCAATTCAAAACCCGTTTCAGTAGATAGTAATGTTATTTTAACGAAAATGGCCAACAATTAAAACTAAGAAAAGAAACATACACAAATAACAATATATTAATCAAGAAAACAAAAACTAACAAACCTACAAGCAAACAACCAAGCAAAAGAACAATTTAGAAAAGAAAAACAAAGCAAAACAAAACAAGACGA